AAAGAAAGAAAGAAAGAAAGAAAGAAAGAAAGAAAGAAAGAAAGAAAGAAAGAAAGAAAGAAAGAAAGAAAGAAAGAAAGAAAGAAAGGGGAAAAAAAGAAAACTATGTGTGTGGCCTCTTCTTTTGCATGTGCCTATCAGTTTATGATTTGGAATATTTTTTTTAATGCAAAAAGAGGCCAGAGGTTAAGCCAAGCTCGGGTGCTCTGCATTAGGCAAGCTTTCAAACAACGTTACCTGTAATTCTAGAGTCCCATGAACCATCACAGAGGCTTTATTTCTTCTAGAAATTAAATCATGGGATTTCTAGAATGAAAAACTATATCTTAATTGTGTTGCCTTCACAAAGCTGTCACTTCCTGTATTAAAGAAGGGTTCTGTTTGGAATGCTATTATGGTTTCTGAATGTTTATCCATATAGAGATGAGTATAAAGAAAATCTCAAACATATATGCAGATAATAACAGTCCCTTCTCCCCAATTGGCTGATCCCTGGGCATCTTATGACAAAGGGAAATTAAGAAAAAGACTTGGAACTTGTCCTGCCCAGTGCTCATACTTTTGATGATTATATTTGAAAATTGACACCCAACCTTTTTATACTTAATCCTTTGCCAAAAAAATAGCAAAATGCTATGCATACCTCTGAAGTCCCCCACCTTTCCAGCTGCTGCATTGATATTTATCACCTCCGTGGACTTTCCTTAATTTTTTTTCCTAGCCTGACAGCAAATCCAAAGCTCAATGATTATTGCATGTGTGTTGATTAATAGAGCATTCTGGCATGAGTCCATTAAAACAACTTGCACAATGGAATTATTTACTGCTTTGTATGTCAAATTATGTGTTGGGTACAGCTTTGTTTTTATCTAAAAAGAGTGAATATCTGCCAAGATAGTGTCTCTACGGAGTATACTTTATATTCCTTTGCCTTAGGGGAACATAAAATGAAGCTAACCATCACAAAGCTTAAGCATGAAATTCAAGAAGGACCTAACTTTTAAATAACCAATCACTTCAGACATATCGATGACCTTTTCAGCGACCTTCTCTGTGATATAGTCAATTTCTAAATGCCTGTGTTCAGCCATACTTTCCTTCCTGAGTTACAGATTTAAAATCTGGGAAGATCAGTCTCTAGTTGAGCAGTCTCTCCATAGGCAAAACTAAGACAGATCCTCCAGTGAAGTCCTTTGTCCCAGAGTGTCACAGAAGTCTACTATCTTCTCGTCTTCCAAGAGAAGTCGCGTGTTTCAGAGAACGTCGAGGCCTTTTAAACCAGCATCTTTACCTTCAGTAAGCTCTTGTTTCACCTTGAGAGAAGC